ACGGTAGCCACGGCCTTTTATCTATCAATCTAAAATATTCAGCAGTCTCCTCGTTCCCATACAGATATTTCGAAATATTTTTCCAGCTTTCAAAAGTGATATTATGTTGTTTATCATTATTGATAAGCCTACACCTGTATGTGTACCACGGGTTGTACCTGTTATACATATTATTTATTTGTGTAGGATTTAGGTACGTTTTGTTCATGGAATTTGATATTTGACTTTCTATTTTTTATGTTAGAACGCTACTTAATGTTTCGATAGGCAATTAAGCAGGTGAAGTCTGTCTGGGTCTAGTCTAAGTAGTATATAAGTATGTAAGTATTCCTATTTTATGTAGGTACAGCATGTTTCAAGTGGCTCTCAATATTCTTATTAAGTAGGTACTCCTTACCTTTTCGTCGAAATAAAAACAAAGTTATTGATTATATTATCTTTACGTTTATAAATATCTATTACACTTTTTCGCGGAACGCGAATTAAGTAGGTAGGTACATCTGTCAGATTCTTGTCTCTACAACAACACGCAATCAGTAGAAGAAGCTCATTGTAAAATACTAAGGTAAAGGAGTAGGTTCATTCTAAAGACGTCTTGAATAAAAAGAAGATATAAAGGGTATGGTAGATAAGTCGCTTCACGTCATCGTCCATCCGCCACGATAAGGCGCTTTATAGTCCCGGCCTTTATTTGAACTTGACACGATTCTTCTCTATCTTGATGCACTTAAACATTCTGAGATATAAACGAGCTTGGTTGGTGTTTACTTTTACATCAAAACTGAGACAGACATAAGTAACCGTACCCACCTAATCAATTAATGTAATAAGAAAAAAACAATACACTGAAGAGCCCACATTGCCCACAACTTCATATACCCATTACTATTCAGTAGGTAGACAACATTTCCTCCCAAAATCCTCACAATGTCGTCATACAGACTCCCAAGACACCGGGCACGTAACAAAATAAATTTCTATTTGGAAAGACTATTTATTATTTTGATAACTCCCAACGAATAAACAAAATCATCTGCTGTATAAATATGAGATGTTTTCTATCTTAGGTTTTTATTGAGTTTAGTTCCATTACTGGTTTGAAAATAAGTAGGTACTATAGGAGTACTTAGTACTCAACTAAAGGTTGTACCTACGCAGATTAAAAATTAGACAAGAATTCTCTTATAGTTTCGTGTCTCGTAGGAACCTAAGCTACACGTTTTTCTTGACCGTCCTACATAAAACTTTCATAATTCCATTTGGTTCGGAAGTTGAGGCTAGAAACAATAACGCTGAAGTTGCGACCACAGCAAAACCGATACGGCAGCTTAAAAAAAATCACTACCCTATCTGAAAAATAGTAGGTCACGCAATAGTTTTTGGGCAGTGAACGCACGACATCGTGTTCGCATCGCATGACTAATAATGTGCTGCTTGTAATGTTTCAAAGTCAAAGGGCTAATGTTCTGTGCGCGACTTGGGTAATAAATATAATCGATTGAACCGTTCATATAGGTGAACAGTGAGCACCCTCTTAATCGATTCTTTCGCAATACCTAAACCTACCAGGATTCGAGATCTGTATTTACTTAAATTACCATTTTATTTAGAACTTCAATGAACTTCTCTTTAAGTTCATAATCTATTCATGAATGAATATTCTATGATTCGACTCCTACAAGTTGTTTTTACAATATTCATTCGCCTTTGTCAAAACTCAAATACATTCATTTCAAATTGGACCATTTATATACGTAGGGACTAGGTACTTACAAATAGGTAAGTGGATAAACACACCTAAATGACTGAAAGTTTATATTCATAAGTGGAAGAGTCCTTTTAGGAAAAAGTGGGAACCGGTAGCCGTAACGAATTTATTTTGATCACTGTGTTAGAAAAAAGGAATTATATAAAATTCATTTCCTAAAATATTTAAATGCTCATAAAAATGAAAAATCTATTCCATGATGGAAACACATATAATGAATTCCCTTGTCTTAGATGTATAGGTACTATATAACACAAATATTAAAGTCTGGGACGGACTGACGTGCAAATTTAAGCGAAAATTTTAAATTTACCCTTAAAAAGTTGAGGAAGGCTTGAGAATGAAAGGCATGTAAATGACTTAATTTGCATCACGTAGTGCGCGGATAAGGTTAAACCACCTATTCCAAACGTGGAAGATCCGTAACTGATATATAGAGGTACAAGTAGATACTACCAAATTATGGAGGTGTCTGATATTTCACGGAAAAATAACTGAGCAGTACCCAACTAAATATAAGAAGCAATGAAGTTATCTTCCTCATATACCCACAAGCTTTCTTTTTCTCATGAAAGATAATGTGCAAGTCTCTAGATAGTCGGTAGGTAAGAAATATGATCATTGACTTTTGATTAAATGGCGCTCTTGTCTACCTTATAGCCTACTTTAGTCCACTAGGGAGCATTTCTAAGTGGGTATATACTTTCATGATAAGTACCCACACTCCGATAAATGAAATTTGTCATTTTCATACTTTATAAAAATTAATACGAAATTATATTAACCAATTAAAGCCCTCCTTTTGTTTCAATTTCTGACCATTCTTTTACATTCTACTAAGTACTGACATACCTAGTTTACATAAAAACGTATACGTTACCTTTCTTCTGCCCTTCTGCGCAGCTTGTTCATTTCAGTCAACTATAGACTACAGACCTACGTATCTAAGTAAAAATTCTCTCTATTTTTTATTTAAAAGAAAAGTCTGAAACGAGAAAAATACAAAAACGTTTCGAAATAAAAGAAAGAAAGTCTTTTGAATACCAGGTCGGCTGTTTTTTAGCTCCACCATCATTAGGCAAACGAAACACTTATGAAATCCCTCGCTGTATGTACCCATATTGTACTCATACTGGTAGTCTGCCTATTCCGGTGTCAAGCATCTTGTAGGTACGTAGGTACCTACTCGACCTTTCAATGAAGATATACGATTTCATATTCGGATCAAATGGGGAAAAATTATCAAGATATCAGAATTGTAAATGAATATAAAATGCTTTTATGAAGACAATGAATCCATTGCTTCTATTAGATTAGACGCTTATAGCTCTAGGTCTGCGTGACAATAACAATTACTAAGAAATGTTAGTATCTACCAACGAACGAATTAACATAGATTAGAATATTGCTTGTGAATATACCCCTTATAGTAGGTCGCCATGAAAAAGGCAATTTGTTTTTGAAACTACTAACAAGACACCATCTACATGTGTAATGGGAAGTTTGACTTTATTCGTTAGTTTTGGATTTAATACGAAAATTGTTTTATCGGATCCATCATCATTAGAGAACCATAAAAAAATAAAAACTCAAATTAACTTTGGATACCTAATTTAGGTATCTACTTAAAATCTATTTCGATTAAAAGGAGTATCTAACTAAAGAAATGTTAAAAACCATTCGCCTAGTAGTAGAGGTGCCCGTCTAATAACAGTCTATAAACAGCTAGTTATGATTTAATAATTATCTTTAGCACGTCAACAGGGTATCGATTACATACATAAGTGATTTATACTAATAGAAACCAAAATAAGTATCAGTAGACGTGCATGGTGGTTATAAACGTAACACGATACCTATACCTCATTAACTAGATAGGCTCACAAACATTTTTGTTTGATCAAATGTTTGGAAAATAAAGATTGTGTGTGTACACATAAACAAGTCAATACTATCGATGTTTGTAAGCAAACTACTAAGTATCCTAAACTAGTGAGCTAGTTCCTAGTAGAATTATGAAAAGTATCTATATACCACCGAGGTAAAATTTATTGGGGTTATATGTTCCGTGACTGTTTTCCCCAATAGATATGAATGAATATATTAAGTACCTTATTGCTGAATTCTCTGATCTTTTTCGTTGACCCGATTTCTCGATAGATCGCAAATTAACGATAAAGTAAGATGTTTGTTGAGTTATCTTCATAAGGTCTCTAGCGGTATTGAGAAATCTAGTTAAAAGTGAATAAAATTTGTCACTTTCTTTCATTTAGAATATCATTTCGATTATTACATACACATCTGTGAATTTATTTGCTGAGATCGTAACATTTTCATTATTAGATTTAGTTAATACCCTTTGTAGTAAATTAATAACATCTTACTCTAATAAATAAGTCTTATTTGTTTACGTCGAAAAGCGTATTTATCATCTACGGTTTGTAATAGATTTAGACTTAGTTACATCCAACCGACGTGAAAATATAGTTATACCCACATAAAAATCATAGTTGTATATCAAAAACCGTTAAACGCTTTTAAAGAAAACCATTTTTAACTGCAAGATGTGCATAAGGAAGTCAATAAATTACTATTTTTGACAATAGAATAGCTGAAAATGGTTGCCAAGCCTTGACTGGTGCAAGCTGAATCTTGGCAAACAATAGCAGAAATACATAACAACCAAATTACAAAATGAATATAAAATCTTTCAACATTTATTTTATTTGACAACGTATAATTAAAATAGTAAAAGGATTTCTAAGTCAAATATAAATATCACATCAGACCTAACACTTATCTGTTAGTATACTATCAACCTCTTAAGACTGTTCAATCAATACCGTTAACCCTTGTTTAATCTAATATTATAAATATTGTATTATGCCTTTAAGTGACAGAAAGAATAAGGTCATATTCAAACACATTTCGTACCTATCATTATCAAAAGATCTTTATGTAATTTACCTCTATCCTTAACAGACATTATTTTTACATAACCCAACACTGGCTTCTTGAACGATACCTTGAAAAAGGCACTTGACAGGTATTGTATAATATAACTGGGTAAACAATGTCGGGTAAAAACAACGACATAAGATATTGTTTTCATAATATTATAAGAGTTTGAGTATAGCTACTTATGTATAGCCAGAAATTTCTTTGTATTTCGTAGGAGTTCCGTCCTAAATCTTTAGTGTTTTCTCAACGAAGATATTTTCTTTATAAACAGAGGGAGCTGTTTGCGGCGAAAGCAGATAGCGGAGCTGCGGCAGTCGACCGAAAGTTGTCATCGTCATCGGCTGGAAGCATGAAAAATAAGTGGTTAAAGGCTTTCCGAAGCCTGAAGCCGCCCAGCGCTCCCCCACCCCACGCTGCACCACCAGACAAGTAAGACACATTTTTTGACTGAAATATAAACATTTTAATAAAATTAAATACAAATGTTCATAATTTAAAGCATGGAAACTTAAAAACATTGACGGGTTACAATTTTACCGTACAATATACATGTAATAATTTATTCAAAATGGATGTTGAAACTATTCCTAAATAGGTATCTACTTACTTTAAGTTGAATACAATGAAACCTAATAAAACATACCTTTCTCACTACATAGAATACGCATAAATGTTGTAATTATCATCAATACATTTGAAAAACAATGAAATGTTGGTGCATTTGAAAAACTGAAGAATAGCGTACCTATACCTACCTAATATTTGCGTAAATACTCTAGAAAATACTAAGAATCCTGCCAATACTACGGTATAAGAGGAAATTACGTCGCGCAGCAATACTAAGGCCAGGAAATAAAAGGTGTGTTGACTGTGTATGCACACGTGCTTTATGTAGGTACATAATTAATTTATACAGGAAGTTAGACCTCTGGACCAATTGTGAAAAAACTGTTTACTTAGTAACATAACATCATCACGCCTTTTATCCCCGAAG